ATCGATATAATTTCATCACCTCGGAGTAAATAAAAAAAAAGACATTAATTATAAAAAAATTAACCGAAAAATTTTCCGGTTTTTTTTTTTTTTCGGCACATTTGGCACATTTAACGACGAAAAAAACTTAAAGCGTAAATAATAGTCATTTAATTATTATTATTATTAAATCTTTTTATACTTTAAGGTATATTAAATCGGCGAGAGAAAAGAAAGAAAGAAAATTTCGGTACACTGATTAATGGAATAAGAATAAAAATATATATATAATTTTTTTTTTTATTTTACGCTTAAAGCGACTCAAAAAATACTTTTTTTTTTATCTTTATCAGATATTTTAAATAAATAAATAAATAAATAATAATAATAATAACACGAATGTGTAAAATAAGAAAATAAAAAAAACCAACCGATTATTCAGTGTCATAGAGATAAAAAAAAAAAAAAATAATAATAATGAAACATACGTGGCAGCAACCAACTTTTCATTGAATATTTTTTGTCCCGTGTAATTTTTATAACTAAATCGTTGTGTTTATTATTATTATTATTATTATTATTATTATTATTATTATTATTATTATTATTATTATTAAAAGTAATTCGGTCTATTAATTTTACGCATTGTTATCATTTATCAAAAAAATAAATCGTGACAAATAATTTGTGATTATTGTATTTACCCTACCGGCACATGAAAATCTATTTCTCGTAAAATCAATTATTTATTTTTTTCTTCTTCTTCTTCTCCTTTCCTCTCCACTAAAAAAAAAAAAAAAAAAAAAAAAATCAATAAATGATTTTCGAGTAACAATAACAATAATAATAATAAAGCTGCTCAAGACCAGGCATTGCGAACTCACAACTATGAGAAAGTAATTCTCAAAGTCCGCCAAGATAACATGTGCCTAATTTGTCAATCGCAGTCGGAAACAATCGATCACTTAATTTCCGGTTGTCCGATATTGGCAAAACATGAATATCCGGAGAGGCACAATAAAATTTGTCAATATCTTCACTGGAATTTCTGTCGCGAACATGGAATGGATGGATTACCCAAGGAGTGGTACGACCACATTCCAAGCCCGGTTACGACAGTAGGTCCATGCACAGTTCTGTATGATCAACAAATCCACACTGACAGAACTGTGCCACCCAACAAACCGGATATTAT